CCCTAAATCCTAAACTCTAAACCTGTGGTACCCATGATCAAGCTGACCTCCTCCGCGCCGACGCGCGGGGCGGCCATGCGCTTCGAGGCGGCAAAGCCCAGCTGGTTCGGATCAATCGTTCCGCGTCGAGGTTTACCTAATGTTTTCTTGATTGCTGCAACAAATCTAAAAATACCGTCCCCAAAAGCAGGATAGGATCTTACTCTAAATTGGGTACACTAGTAACACTAGTCTAGTATCCCCAAATAAGATACTACTCGCCTGAGGTTGGGGTTGAGCAGTTCGTTAGAGGGGGAGTGCTGGAAGGATAGGAGAAGTACAGAATCCATTCAGTCATTCCTTGCTGCGAAACCTCTACTTTCCTGAGATTCGGAGGTATCGGATGCGTTGTATTAACTGGCTGTGCGGGGGGTTCAGGGCTGCCTCACGGTCATTTCCACGACAACGTCGAATTTTGGTTTAGGGTTTTGGGTTTAGGGTTTTGGTTTCTAGTGCTTGTCTGCCTCATTATGACTTCTGTTGGGGCTATGTCTATGGCAACTTGTTTCTATCAGGTTTACAGACCACCTTCTTTTGCTCACTTTTACGGTTCCTGCTGCGTGATGTACAGCGCGATCTCCCAAGCCCAAGCCCCACACACTGGAGCCCGCCCCTGATTGCACCTTGGCATCCCCTGCTGAGATCCAGAAGACCTAGGTCACTTCTTCATTAACTATGTCATCCCAAGATCCCCAAGAACATTTGAGCGGCCCGTTCTGGCTGACCCGGCTCGGCTCCTCGTGGAACCAGCTCCACACCCCCCGCGTCGGCATCCGGCATGGCATAAACGCTAAACCTTCAACTCTTTTACAGCAAGCTGGCCCAAAAGGCGTTGAACCTTTGATGGCTTCAGGTTGAAGGTTTGGGCAGCCTTGGTGTGGCATGCTTGGAACGTTGAGGGGCAGCCGTCCTGGATATTGACAGGGCAGCACTGCAATTAACATAGCCCCACCCGCAGGGGGAATCAAGTTATAGGGGGCAGCATAGCCAAAAGCGAATCTGAAGTCCCTAAACCCTAAACCCATGGCTTGACAGCTTCCTTCGAGGAACTACAAACTGGTTGGCGACTCATCGTCGGAAGCCAAACGACATAAAATCACCGAGTACAGGGGCCTGCACAAGGGCGTACGGCCCCAGACCCTATGAGCCCTAAAAACTCTGAGGCCTTAACGCTCCACAACCCTGAATCCTAAACACTAAGTCCTCAGCCCCAAATCCTCAGCCCAAAATATTAAACCCTGAACCCTAAATCCTAAACCCTGAATACTAAACCTCAAATCCTAATCCCTACAGTCTATAACCCTACAACCCTACAACCCTAGATGTCTCTTGGCCCCGGTCCACGGCTGCTGTGGAAACCGCAGCAGCAGCCAGCGGTCTGGAGGCTTCGATGTGAACCTGCATGTTGGAGGGGGGAGATGCCTTTTATAAGGGTTTTAGGGTATAGGGTTTAGGGTTTATGGTATAGGGTTAAGGTTTGGGGTTTAAGGGGTCCCTTTCAAAGGGTATAGGGGCTTAGGGGTCCCTTTCAAAGGGGCTTAGGGCTAAGGGTTAAGCGTTTAGGGGTCCCTTTGTAGGGGCAAAAGGGCTCCCAAATATTGGATGAGGCTCTCTTAGATGAAAAGTATAAAAGGGGAAACCTCTGCTTAGGAATAAGCATCTACAAGGGCTACTAATTCAGGGGCATAGCTTACGCTTCTACAGAAGTCGCCTGGAGTTCGAAGGGTTTAGGGTTCAGGGTGTACCAAAAGCTTTGGCCCTAAACCCCTAAACCCTAAATGGTTAGTGATGTAGTGGTATACTCTACGAAATGGCAAGGATTGCCCTCCGCTGAACCCGGATCCCTAAACCCATTGGGGTAACATTAGGGTTATACTGGGGTTAGATAGGGATATGGAAAAGAACATGGAAAACACTGTTTAGGATTTAGGGCTTAGGGTTTAGATATACTCCATCCTGAAAACCAGCGCTGCAGGCCACCTGCCGCTAAATTCAGGGTTGAAGTTCTAGGGTTGAGGGCTTAGCACATAGGTTTAGGGCTTAGCAGCTTAAGGTTCAGGGTTTCGGATTGAGGGTTCAAGGTGCCAGAAACTGAGGCTCCGCACTAGAGACTCCGGAAATTAGGGTTAAGGTTGATTAGTGTTGTTTATCCAGGCCCGAGCGACATACGACACTGCGGTTTGAGGTTGCCATGTGTGGTCATCCTCACCCCGAGCCCTAAACCCTAAACCCCTAAGCATATCCTGACCCCACAGCTCCACCCCTGAAGGAAGCTCGCCTTATCCCAAACGTTGCCAATGTGAACCGGTAGCTTCCCAAAACAAGCAGGCCCAATAAAGACACCCAAAATACCATAACCTTTATTGTCAGGGCCCTCAAAAGGTACCCTAATCTTGGGAAACCCTAAACCCAAACTCCTATGTAATCTTAGTGTCCATTTCATTGTCCATGTTCTTTGCATTTGGTTCTCCACTGTTGGGGCTCTAAACCTAAACCCCAATTCTGGGAAATCCCCAACTTGGTACACCTTTTCGAAAACAACAGGCTGGCTCCTTTTCATTGCCTCGGGTGAGGCATAGGGTTTAGGGTTTAAGGGTTTAGGCTTACGGTTTAGGTTTTAGGCTTTAGGCTTTAAGGCTTGTGGGGCAGAACCGTATATGTCGTTTGGGCGGTTTAGGGTCACCCCCAACATGAAATATTTCACCTACTGTGCGCTGACGGTACTCATTGAGAATATGTACTATTAGGGTCTGAGGATCTCTCTCGTATCTCCACTGTTCTGAAATCTTGCACACCCTACATTTAAGTGGGTTTTGGGCTTAGGCGCACCCCGCCGCGGGAAAAACAACTATACCCTGTGCCTTTTGTGGATCCTCTCCCAACTAATCACCTGCTTCTTATTATAAATGTGCTCCCCCTAGGGATACTGGTGCTATAGTCGGGTTGGGGGGGAGAGGGGTCATTAATTAGGGCTGGGGGTGTTATTCTTAACGGTGAGAGGGTTTGCGTATCAAATAATCACCCTGTGCCTGAGGTTTGGCGACTGCTCTGGGAAGGGAACCTGCGTATGCCCTCATCCGAATCCCCGCTGAAGTCCCACTGAACTCCTCCATCCTCCTGTTATCATCCTCTAGAACCCTGCATCAACCGTCTGGGTGCTTCCATAGAGGTTTAGGGTTGAGGGTTTCCTTTGCGGTGCCCACATGATGAGTTTATCCGTCTTGCGGGTTAATTAAGCCTCGTCTTACTGGTGTCTAGTAGGGAATGTGGGTATATACTGAATATCTAATCCCTGTATCATACATTCCCTTATGCCCCGCTAACTGCTAACCGCCAGCAAGTTGTTCTGCACATTGAGGTAACCCTTAACCCCTAAAACCTAAAAGACTAAACCCTAAACCCTAACCCCTAAACCCTAAACCTAACCCCTAAACCCCTAAAACCCTCAACCCCGTCAGGTTGAGCTCATCTATCAAAGCCTCTCCATCCTTTTAGCTCCGCCAAGCATGGGGTCAGCGCAGCACATAGCTTGAGGGGTTAGTTTTCAGGATTTAAGGTTTTAGAACTTAGGGAGTGGAGGAATGGAGAAGAATATGAGCTGCATGAAGTCCAAACATCTTAAAGGCGGTTATGTAGGGTATTGTACTGGGGCGTATCATAGGGGTAATACGGACACCCCAACCCCAAAATAGGGCAATGCTATTCAACCGTGAATTCTGTAACCCCCCTCCACCGGCAAAAACAATTTAACTAGGCATCATCAGCTTTTTCCTACGCCGGACTGAACTAGGAACAGAGAATTGAACAAACAAGTTTATTAAACACAAACATTATTCTCAGAAACACCGGGAAGTCCCATTCCAACCATTTTGCGTAAAAGGGACCTCCCTTACATGCAGTAAACCAAAAGGTTTTTAAAAGTCTGCAAATTCACATATGTTTGCCCACAAAATCTGAGCATTACCACCAAAAGTCGACCGGCCCTGCACAATCTAGGGGTTTAGAGAAGTCTAGGGTTGCGGATTCAGGGGTCTAGTTTTTGTTGAGTTTAGATGTTGAGTTTAGGATCTTGCTTTAGGGGTTTGAAGTCTTTCGCGATTTAGGGGTTCAGGATTTGTGCAGGGTGGAGGAATGGGGGAGTTGGAGTGGGGGGTAAGAGTTTGCCGGCACTATGGTCACAGGTTGGCTACAGGGTTCTACTTTTCGGAGGGGGGCTTACCACCATCCGCTATCCCCATATATATATACACACACATGCATGACTGTTTCCATTTCATATTTCACTCTATTCTCCACGTTGCGGTTGGCTTTAAGGTCCCAAATGCTATAATCTGAATGGCTGTTGGCCCCGGAATCCCCAACACTGGGGCACTAGGATCCTCAGGTTTTGTGAAGAAGTGGTCGCTGTGTGTGAGCTGTAGTCTAAACTCTTAGCATCCCCCTTAATAAACCCCTATGATAGCCCCTATAATCCCTACATAACACCCCTTTCAGGAGTTTAGACTATGGCCCTATGTGGCAGAAAATCATGTGCCTCGCGTCCTGCGCCGCGCCAATCAGTTGACAACAGCTTCTTACATCTTCGGCCGAAATCTCAACCACAGACTCGTACGCTACGGCCGGCAAATCTTTACGCTGTAAAGGACATGGATTGTACATACTGATTTCTTCAGATAATACAGACCTTTTACCTGCACGGACGCATGTGGAATCTATCAGCACAATTTGCTATTATGCCGGCAACTATCACCAACTGTACCACCACAGTTACCGTCCCCACCCGAGTTGAGCTCGTGGCTGAGCTATGTGTGTCTGCTCCTGGCCGACCTCCCTGCTCCACGTGAACCTGCATTTGGAATGCCCACTCATATGAGCTATAGTCTAAACTCCTAGTATTGCCCCTGAATATCCCCCATAGTAGTCCCCAAAAAATCCCCTACAAAATCCCCCTTTAAGCAGTTTAGACTATGGCTCATACAATTCAGTGGGTTGTTGGAGGGATTCAGGATATTCCACGACTAGAAGTGATCCCCGCCAGATTGAGCCCCGATAGGAAGAAGTAGAGACAGAAATGAACGTGACTTACTGGTTGTCAGCGCGGAATATGAGAACATATTTTACAGGAAGTATAAAATGTAAGGATTCTCCTTATTCCCTACTAATACGACGTAATTAGGACGTACCAACTTATATGTCTACTGAAAGGTATCTGGGAAGTCCAATCCAATGGCATGCCAAATCAGGGAGCGGGATTGCAGAACTGATATAACCCCCTAAGCACCTGAACCCCCAAACCCCAAACCCTAAATTCTAAACCCTGAGACAAGACCCTGAACCCTGAAACCCTGAACCGCGAACCCTAAACCACAACCTCTGATCCGAAAACCCTAAACCCCAAACCCAAAACCCCAGGACCTAGAGCTGAAACTCACCAAAGGATACGGAGACACACCCCAAATCCTAAACCCCGAACTTCATGACAACCCCTGCCTTTGTAGGGGCAACGAAGGATTGCTAAGGCAGTCCCCGATGCCATCCCGCCAGAAATCACATCTGGTGGCAGCATCGATACCTTTCCCTGGGAAGCCTCAGACCCCTAAATCCAAGATGCTATGAGCTACAATCTAAACTCCCAGTATCCCCCTTCATAATCCCTGTAGTGGCAGGTCCCCTATATATAATCCCTTATAAGACCCCCCTGAAGGAGTTTAGACTCTAGCTGATATGAAAGACAGAGCCTAGTGCCAACCTTCAACTCCTAATTCCAGCTAAATAGACTGAGCCCGATGCCAAGACTTAGCGTTTCGACCTCGACGTATAGATTCCGCGATATCAGGCTACAGTATATACAATTTAGGTAGACCCCCATCCAGTAATAGTGACTGTAAGGGATAATAGGGATTTTTTAGGGTCCTCTGATATTCTTATTATACCACTATTACAGGGTGGGGGGTCCTCCTAATGTATATAATACTGTTATGTTGCGAATTATGTAGACTTCCGTACAATATACCCTACACCCTAAACCTTAAACTCAAGACCCAAAACCCTAAAGCCCCAAATCCACAACCCAAAACTCTCCATCCCAAATCTCTAAAATCCTTAAAACCTAAATCCCTCCACCAACCCCTACCTGAACTCAGTTCCCAGTTCCTTTTCCATGTTCTTTTGCGTTTGATTCTCCGTCATATTTGGGGGTAATATTTTTAGAGTCTAGGGTTTAGGCTTTAGGGTTCCGTCATATTTGGGGGGTAATATATCATTATCTTGGGAATTATTCGGGCCAAGACATTATGAGATTGTGCAGTCGCGGGCGGGTGAGTTGAAGGTTTGAATCTTACATCGTTTATGCATGTGGCTGGGGGGGGGAGTTTTTAGTTGTTGATGGGTCCCACTTTGATTAG